GAAAATTGAACTTGTAAAAAGATATATATATATATATATGTAATGAGATCTAAGCTGAAATTTAATTAAAAAATTGGGTGCGATAGACTTACCTCCACGTGGTGCACCCTGGGCAACGTATAATCATACGGCAAAAATGTTTATTAACTGGCAGTTGACTTCTGACTTCATACTACCATCACCTCATTCTATGCCATAATCGACTATTTTCACAGTACTCACCTCACCTTTGTTCTACCTTTGTGTTTGTCTCTTACATCTTTGAAACACTCTTCTGTTCCCCCCTCTCGACTTTTTTCAATTTGATGTTCCTCCCTCTCTGTGAAGCCTGAAGTCAACTAAAGGGCTAATGATAACCATTTGTGTAAATAAATAATCAACAAATTGGTATTCACCTGAAGTTTCTTAAATTGGTCTTGACATGACTAAGTTGCTTGGATATCGAATTACAAGTCTTAACAATAGTTGTATGCATCTGAGTTTGCGTCTTCATGATGTGTGCTCTCAACTTTCGAATTCAAATTACAACTCCTCGATCTCACATATATATTTGTCAATATGTTTGGTTGAAGGCCGTATTAAGACTACGAATTGGGCAAAGGGTTACACAACTTTCACATTGCAGTAGATGGAAGATAATTCTCTGGAAATGTTGGGTTATTTTTTTTCTATATTTAAACACTTTTCCTCTATCTTTACGTTTTATGCCTAATTTTGAGGGTTTTAGTCTTCGAAACAATTACCTTTAATTTCTCTGAGTGACCTTGAGGTTAGGTTAATTAAACCAAGTTAAATATCCATCACTTTAGACAAATAAGAATTTAGGCATTGCCATTTTTATTTCTATGTGGGTTTACTGTATATGGCGCGAAGATTTCGAGCCTCGTAATGTTTCATTTATTGCGTATACTCTTAAACATTTGAAAATTTGGGATCACATCTAACTAAAACCAGTTCTGCTATAGTATGAGTCTTGGAAAATTTTTAATGGCTGTTCATGGAAAATTCGTATGTTCGATTCGTGTATGCTTTTAATTAATAGCTTTTTACCTTTCATTAATTATCCTAATGCATAAAAAGCCAAGAATGATATTGTACATTGACGTTGATGAGGGGAGAGGGGGCTGAGGATGAGAAATAAAAGCGCAAGAAGACTGGAAATAAGAATAGCTGATTTGATTAGGACTAAATTTGAAAGATTAGAAACATTAAAGGCTGTGGGACTATGCTTACTACATGTGCTAAAAATACTTAAATTATCCTCTAAGTGGGAAGCAGTAATTGAACAGTCTTAACTATGCAAATTCTGAGAAAGAGTGCAGAAAAGGGTCGTGTTAAGGGTATAAGGGGGGAGAGGGGGGGGGAATATTTATTTATATCAAATGGCAGGAGTTTTGATAGTTATCATTAGCCCTCAAGTTGACTTCGGGCTTCACAGAGGGGAAGGAACATCAAATTGAAAAAATTCGAGAGGGGGGGGGGGAGAACAGAAGAGTGTTTCAAAGATGTAAAAGAGACAGACACAAAGATAGATGAAAGGTGAGGTGGGTACTGTGAAAGTGGTCGAATATGACATACGGTGGTGTGATGATAGTTTGAAGTCAGAAGTCAACTGCTGGTTAATAGGCTTTTTTGCCATAAGAGTATAAGTTGCTCAGGATACACCACGTGGAGGTAAGTCTATCAACGTACCATGTTAATTGACTGAAGGAATGCAGTGTAATGATTTTAATATTAAGACGAAACGTTTCTATTGAGCTTTATTTTCCACCTATATCTTCATTTCTAAGATCCTTCGTTGTTGGTGAACTATTTATTCAGATTTTCTCTCTCACTATAGAAAAACATTGAAGCTGAGAAAAGTAACTGCCGAATATGACATGAATTTAAAGCGAACTTTACTTCTGTTGCCTTAATCCATCGTCCGTGTAGAAGTAAATACTTCAATATTTTAACTGGAACTATTCTGTGTCGACTTAAGTGGTTGATTGAAGAAGGTAACCTGAGTTTGGCTCAATCTGTTGTTATTCTCCACTGGGGAGACAAGAGCTGCAAGTTTGTTACGCAATGCTTTCTATGACCATCTCACACCAACTGAACTGGGAAAGACACTAGAAGATTCGAGTTTCTCACTAATTAGAATCGGTGTGTGTGTGCACCATTATGTTAGATTATGCTTTTCTGAACGAAATTGTGTTTTGTTATTGAGTAAACAGAGACGTTTAAAGCGTATCAACAGTCGGTGAGTACTTTGTCATGTGCCTTTTTCTCGTCTTGTACATGCCTTTTATTGTAAATTAAAGTAGTTATGCCTTCCACAGTTTTCCACGTTGACATGTCCATTTGGAATGGTATATGTCGATATTCTTCTTCTAATAGAGAGAGAGAGAGAGTCGAAGTATAAACTGAAACTCTGCTAAACCCTGTAAATGATAGGCTTAAACAGAGCGCATGGTAATACCAGCTACCGGGTATGCCAAATGAGCGTTACATTTTTGACCTTTAAATTCGTTGATGTGCACCATAATAGCCGTATACTTCTTACTCGTTCTCCATTTTAAAGTACGTTGTTAACAAGTATATCAAAAATAGTACGCTTTGAATTTCCAAAACCGTGGGAAATTGTTATAAAAAATTGGCAGGTTATTTTTCGGTTACACAATATGTATCGCATTGGGTTGGGTGAAAGAACAACCCATAATATTAATGAAATTCCATCGCTCAATTGGCGGTACCTTAATCCACCAATACCTGTATCGCAGGTCTTCATACAAGCAATAAATATTTTAATGTCCTTCACCTTCCCCCCCCCCACTGCCCCCCTCCCCCCCCCGTTTAAGTTTCGTAAGGGGATCCGTTTACGTTGAGTAGCATACACATATACCCACAATTTAACAGTCATACGAGGAGCATAAATCGATGATTGACGTTTTTCCAAGGCTGATAGATAAAAGGTGATCTGAACGCATGTGAGATTCTGTAAAAAATATTAATCACAAAGATCCAATTCTAGTTTTCTTGCTGTTTCTTCCTTGGAAAGGAGAAAGATAAAGTGGCTGCATCACTTCTAGAGGGCATAGAATAACATTGTTTGTAGAAAAAATTGTGAATAGTTATTCAGCTTGCTTTTACCGACTTCTTTACACCCCACTCCCCCCCCCTCCCCTCTTGAAATACCGCTCTCATAAAGTGCAAAATAAAGTCCAAGTTTTGCTCAACATCCTGCGAATTCCCTTTTCTTCTTGGTTTTGGTTTAGGTTTGGTATCTAGAAGTCCATTTCATTGGCGGTACTTTTGGTAATCATTTTTTCGGGGCAAATTGTTTAACTGTAATTGTTGCATATACACCACTAGTAATACCCACAGTTAACAGATTAAATTACTCCCATTTTTATGCACTTAAGATAATAAACCCATTTTCTTTCTTTGCCGCACTTGTCTGTTGGTCTTTATAACGGTAATATTTCTTTGGTTTCCCCTCCACTGTTACGCCTGTCAGTTGGAGAAAAAGTTGTTCCAACAATGCCTACAGTCAAATGTTGCCTGCGATCAAATGGTATTATTACTTCTAGAACAAAATGCAGATATTATTGAAAAGTATGAGATTATCATTATCTAATTGCGACAGAAAGGTAGAATATGTAGAGTTGAGGTTTTTTGGCACAATTAGCATGAAGAAATATTTAATTAGATCTATACATATTCAATTGGTAATTTAATTATATTCGACATTAGAATTTTAGTTTTGTGCATTTTAAATGACATCCTTAGCTGGGCAACTGTTTCAGGTCGTAAATCCAGCGATAACTAATGTCCATATTCGATAAAATAAACGATCCACATCAGTTCAGATTAAATGCATTAACTGAATTATTGAAAAGCACTTATATTATGCCGCTTTATTTCCATCAATAGATCCAGATTTATACGATGCAGCCGACGGGTTTCTCGGTCTCAACAATGGACAACATCGATTTCGCGGAGGCCACAATCTCAAAAACATCTGCTCCCCATCTTCTCTTTCACCGGAGGTGATTATGCCGGGAGGTCACTCACAACTCTCGTCAAATGCATTTGGTCCACCTTCAGCGCATTACCCTCCTGGCCTCTATGGTTCCATCCCGCCTCCGCACCACTCTGCTCCACTGCCACCTTTGCATGAACTCTCTGACGCATCTGATCGGCGTAGCATATCTGGAAGAACCCCCCACATCTCTGCTCACACCCAACCTCCGCCTCCTCCTTCGCATGACTTCAATGCAATGCAGCTGGCTGCGGCTGCAGGTCTTCATTATTTTTCTTCCACCAATGCAAGATCTGGAACAAATGGACCCAATTCGATTGAATCATGTCTCTATCCGAATGCATTTCAGCCTCCCTCTCAGTCTTCTCAATCTGCACAAGCTGAACAGCAACAGGTATCACCTCAAATTCCACCACTGTTGGATTCACCGGGAGAACTAGGCATGCAGCGGTGGATTAATCGATCGATAGCGTCGGAGAAACTAAGGCTGGTGGAACTTTGCGCTTTTGTTGAGTACCCGTGTGAGATATCCGATTCGACGGCTCAAGATTTAGTAAGTCAAATTCATTAAAAATGATGCCAAACAGTCTTTATCAAGTTCTACAAGCCTATCTTGACTACCAATCCTGATTTTGTAGAGGCATTACGACCAAATTCAAAACCACGTTAATTTATGATCCATTCAAAGACAACAGATGTATGTATTTAGATGTCTATCTCTAAAAAAATTAACGCAAATTAGTCCTATTTCGTCTTGCAAACGTAGATTACTTTAAAATTTATAAATCAATTGTCCCCGATTCTTGCTTTTATACTACCGTGATTTCCATATAATAGAATTTGTATTAAAGAGGATTCATCTCAGCCCACTATATAAGATTGCATGGTCACTAATTAAGAGAACACAAGATCAATCCTAAGGTATTTATTGACAAACTACCGACGGATTAAGAGTGGTTCATAATTTTTGAGATCGAAGGATTTTCTTGAAACTGTTCAGAACATGTACCCTCATAATTAGTGCATGGATCAATGGCTAAGCGATTATTGTCCAATTTTCCTAATATTAATGAAACTAGGTGGGATATTTTCAAAGAAAATTGTCCCCGTGAACTTGTTTTAAGTGAAATGAGATAAAACAACTCCCTAAATTGTAATATATTTACCTCGTTAAGCCCATAGAGGCGGAATGAAGGAATTGCTAATGTCCAGTAAGTAATAAATGCTATATCAGGGAAGTTTTTGATGTTTTACGGCTGTCGAGAGCCTAACTTTGTCCAGTGTGGTTTGTATTACATTGCACTACCGGGTTGTATTTGTTTATTTCCACACCTTAAGGCGATTTTATCTATGTAAACAAAGTCGCCTCTATTTTCCCTAATGTTACTTAATTAGGACTTAGCTGAATCCGCAACAAATATCAAGGTGAAGGTTAAAGGCACTCTAAATACATATATCCCTAGTAAGACCGATTCTGATGCTATATGCAAAACGCTAAATAATTAAGCAAACATATTTTCTGCAAATAGCTCCTTCATATTGTCCCTTGGAATGTGTCAATTTGCTATGCCAACAATCCCTTACTTCACCCCTCCGCTTCCCCTCACCCCCCCCCCCCCCCAAAGCCGCACAATTTCCAACATTTGGTTCACATTTGTTGCTTTTCCGCAGTGGTTTCCAGTCCGTCTATGCCATCGGTCCTTCGTCTAAGTAGTTCAATCACACACACACACATAATATTTATCCCATTTACAATTTCCGACTTTCCTGCATACACGGATTAGATGTGACGGTCCCTGTAGATGCAAACACAATTTCATTTGTCATAAGGGGAGACGAATGGTGCTGGGGTGTAGGCGTGCAAAACCGGGTTTCTGTGGGTTTTGGTGTTTGCCTCATTGAACTTGTGTATGCAGATTTCCTGGTCCTATTTTCGTGCAACTATAATTTTTTTCTCCGTTAATCCCGCGAGTGCTTGTGTACACGTACATACATTAACGCATTCGCTTTCACTGTGGGGGTACCAAGGCACATTTGGTACCACGACGCACTCGGGAAGCTGAAATCCCAATGCGTGTGCAACATGATGGATTTGATGAATTGCTGTTCTTATGGTTCATTTTAGATTTATATTTAACCGTCATATCAATCATATAATGTAGAAGAAAATCAACAATAGCCTTGCTTGGAAGATCACAATGGAGGAGAATGGATAGGCGCTTAATTCTATATATTTGTTTAAAAAATTATTTCATCTGACCAATTGCACTGGCTTGTGATGTGTTGCCAAAGACAAATATCTTATTAAATAGGCTTTAAATTGTGGATTTTCTTGTTTGAAACGTGTGCTTTAGAATGCTGGATGTGAGTACTTAAATTTCGGATAGTTCTTTTTTATCTATATTATAGGCAGGTCGTGCCAACCTATGGTCTTCTAACGCTGACATTGTGCGCTTGAGGATATAGCATGCCACTTACTTAATTGAAATAATTAGTTCTCAGCATACAAGCACTTATCCTCGAGACACTATAAGCTATATTCCATTGAGGTGGATAACTTTAATAAACATCTGAGCAGAGATATCGATGTATGTTCTTGACATTAACCCTTTAACGCTCGAAGCATTGTTTTTAAACTATGTACCAACTGCTCTCACGCGTGTCTCACAGCAGACTGATGCCGCCGACGTGATGAGTTTCAGTGGTATCAGGCGAAAGATATAGAGGCGTATTGAACAAGTTTCAAACAGCATTAGCGCCTTCTAGTACCAAATGAGCTTATTTCGAAAGAGGACCGTACGGTTCTAATGACATTAAAGTGCTTAAATAGAACAAAAATGTACCAGAAAACCCCTTCCCTCTCTCTAAGCGTTTGTAGGCTAGTATATGGAACACTTAGGACACTGGGAATGGTGATCTATTTTTCCACTTTTGTTAATTGCTAATACTAACAGGATAGCGCGGAGTGCAATTTTTTGAGTAGAAGGGTAATAAAGGGAGAGGAGCACTCGTGAACAAATCTAGATGAGCAGAGGTAGAAGTAGTTGACATTCAGAGAATATTATGGGAATAAAAGTTAACAAACACCTCGCCTGTGGAAGGGGGCCACGGTCAGCCAGGGTTGCTTAGAGCTCAAGTGAGCCTGAAAGTTCCTTAACGGACATTTAGCTTTAATTCATATCATAGCAAGTATTACATATTTAAATCAAATTATACTAACTTTAGTGTTAACAACAGGCTGATTCTTGAAATATATTTATCCGCGTTACGTATCTCATTTTATGGAGGGCCCTTGTTTGTTGGTTGACTTTAGGCCACTTCAAGACCTAGATATAATTAAATGCGATTAAATTAAAATTTACATTCTTTTTAACAAATTTATGATGATTTTATTAAAAATTTTGTTTCGAATTTTTTTGCTTATCTATTTAGTCCTCATGAAAACAAAGTGCATTCGTTCCTAAACCAATTGTCAGAAAAATTAAAATTCCCAGAACTAGAAAATGATAGCAATGAAACGGCAAAAAACCGTTAGTCGTACACTCTTTAATTAATCCTCAATCCATATTCTGCCCTTCGGCCTTATCCAAACATGAGGCGACTCGCAGTCTATTTGATCTATTCTATCAGAAGGGTCATACCACAGATTAAAGTCCTTCTTACACCCATTTCTAAACCTTTATATATTAGGAATTTATTTAATTTTACCTTTTGATTTTTTGTTTAGTTCATATAGCATTGATGGCTTCCATTTGTAGCTAAGTTGAGGCGAAGGCTATTTTCCTTCTGTCATCCAAATTCGATTATAATGAAAGAGGAGATAGGTCCTTTCACAAGTGCTCATTCGGGAAAGTGACTTTTTGTTTGCTGTTGGAAAATCGATAATTTATAAGCATTATTTAAACTCTATCATGAAATCTTTTTCATTTGTGATTACCTATTATGTGAATGACAATTAAGCACGACAGTTATTCAGGCAATACTAATTATTTCTGTTGGGTTCGATATTAATACAGATCGTGGTTCAACTTTTCTTTCTGAAACTAGGACATCTTTTGGCAAGTTCAGTTCATTCAAACAAAGTCATATCACATTATATTTTTAAAATAATGCATTCCCCACTCTAGAAATTTTCACAAATCATATCGAATTGTATGGGAAATGGAATACTCTTTTAAAACCAAACAGATAAGCATAGGGTTTTTCATTAAACTATGTCCATAATCTGAGCTGTTTGAGATTCCTTTAAGCTTGAACTCAATTTCACTCCTACCAGCGTATCAGCATAAGACCATCGAAACCAGACCACCACGTGAACTGCCTTGTCGACCGCACATGCACACATACATTCGACTTGATATTTAGCAGACCCGCCATACCAGAAGCGCAACAGTTGCCACTTGTACAATAGCCAAAGGGGGGAGGGAGGGAGAGAAATGGTGAAGGCCATTACGAAAGTTCATGTTACTAACTTCATGTGATGGTGGTGAATAGGAAGGTGCTTGTATCATAGTCCACGTTGCTACAGCTTGCGGTATGGCATTTAGCGCAAATGACGATACTTCAAACTGGCATTTCGTTTTTATTAACCTTCCTCCAACACGATCTATTTTCGATCTTAATGTGATTGAGTCATTATGCGTCAGTAGCCAATACTAATATTTGTTATCAAGGCGGGATACGTTGCGACTGATCATATTGAAGACATTCAGGGTTAAGTTTCTGATGCTAGTATTTTGATAGCCATACTTTATTTAAACCACAAAGGGGTGTGCGATAGACTTACCTCCATGTGGTGCACCCTGGGCAACGTATACTCATACGGCAAAAAAGTCTATTAACTGGCAGTTGACTTCTGATTTTAAATTGCCATCACCCCACTATGTTATATTCGACCCCTAACACAGTACTCATCTTACCTTTTCTCTGCCTTTTTGTCTGTCTCTGTTACATCCGTGAATCGTTATTCTGTCCCCCTTTCGACTTTTTTTCACTTTGGTGTTCCCCCTCCTCTCTGTGAAGCCCGAAGTCAGCTAAATGGCTAATGATAACTATCAAAACGCCTGTCATTTGAAATAAATAAATAAATTTAAACCTCAAAGGAAGGACAGTCATTCATTTCCCAAAAGTTACAAGTTCTATTTGAGGGATCCAACCGATATCGAATGGCTGTAAGCCTAAAATATGATTAGGGGGGTGGACAAGGAATGAATTCAAGTTATCAAAAAGTTGTACTTATGTGACTTTTGGAATCGTATCGTATGCCATTTACTAAATGGATAGGGCAAATTTAAAAATGTAGATCATACTAATCGTCCCCCTTTGATTGAAGCCAATCCTTATCTACGATGTTCAGCATTAACTGCTCGGCAGTATTTAAAGAAAGAGAGTAGGTCTTGTCATATCAGTAATTTTTTTGACTGAGAAAGCAAGTGGTCTTGTAAACTATTTTGCAAATGTCAGAAATAAAATACTAATTTTAATTTCGCAAAGTTTCATAAGCTGCGGTTGCTCAAGGAGACTTTAAGGAAACACTCGTACAATTTTGAGAAATTTTCAACGTTAATTGGATAAGAGTAATTTTGTCAGCGCTGGGCGTTGAAGATAAACTCAGCGATCGATGGAAATTTCGTCACGAGGATCTGTAATTTTGCCTCAGGAAGCATGGGTACTAGCATATTGAAAATTCAGACGTTCACTGAGACGTAATGTGAGATAAGGAATAGGCAGTCTCTGGTACTAAAGCCCTCAATTGCAGATTTATACTAGAACTTTGTCTATGTTGTTTGTTTTGTACGTTTCATCGTTTATCTTCAAGTGGTATTTTTGTCTCCGGTAATTGAAAGATTTTTGCCAAGGAATCGAGAATCACCCGTTTTAGTTACCCCCTTATTTTCCTTTTCAATTTTGGGGAAATTTTTTGCACTTTTAACGCCCATTGATATCGTTTGACGTAGCTTATTAACGTCACACATTATATAAATGAGTTCTTATGAAATTATTTTTACTATTATAGCATGGGAATACGGTTCAATCAAATGACTACATTTGGTTGCATTTCAAGTTTGTTGGTGGAAAGCAAATGAATAATTCTCTGTTGCTATTTATGGAATTGAAGGAATTAAAGCCTAATTCCAAGTTGCCTTCACTCTCAGTTTACGTTCTCGTTATATTCAAAGTAGTATTCTTCATCAATTTGGTTGCAATTAAAACAATTATTAGTATCCCATCATAATGATATTATTTCAATAGCATCGAATGGGTTATACCGCTCATAAACATAAACCATATACGCAAACCATTGTAATAAAACATTTCCGAAAACATCATTTAAATTATTATGTTATCATCATCAATAAAATCACATGAAAATGCATTTTGGGTGTTTGTTTAGTCATTTCCGAGGGTAGACTGTGTAAAATTCAAAATTTACAATTTCAACAATTTCGAAAAGCAGTTATGGCGGAATGCATTTTAGTTATAACCTTTAAATTCATATCTGCCCTTTTAAGAAGAAGAAGTTAAAACAACATTCAATCAATATTATCATTGATGAAAAAAGCTTTATGCATTGTTAAAATTTAGGGCAGGGGACCGTTGCTTGTCTTCTAATCTCTTTGTGCTACGCGCAGGCATTTACGGTTTCTTCTAAAGTCCCTATTCCAAGGGGACACATTCCAACACACATTTCATCAAATTCTTAAAAAAATGGAAACCACATTTCCCCCAAAACCCAAAACAGGAATTACATTCGCACTTTATCAATTATTTTTTCTGCCGCAGTAACCACACGGGAAGCAGAATGATTCACATATTCCCACTTGCCTGTTTGTATTCATCCTTCTCTGGCATGGCCCTTTAAGAGACACTGAGAGGGGGTACCAAAAATAAGGAGGGCGAGGGGGGAGGGTAGGGGATAGAGGGAGGGAAACTGATTACTGCCGTTGGGAAGATGGATGATACTTGTACATCCTCGCATTCGTGCTGAACGCGTGGTACTTAAAGGAGGCTTCGATAGGCTATTTGCCGGTGAAAATGATCGAATTTAACAACTGTTCCTTCCCCTCTATACGTGCTTGCACAGCTGACGGAAATTAAGCGACTACTGTTACTATTGCTGTTACAGTGTGCGCGTTAGTGCATGATGATGCGCATATTTGTGTATGGTGACGACTGTATACACGAGCCCGCTCGATGCGGGTTAAGGGAGGTGGGGGATGGAGGAGGGGGGGGGGGGGTTGGTAAAGGGGTGCTTTTCTTCCCCTTCCTCTCATTGAAACATACTGTTCCTCTTGTATAAGGGACCAAATAAACCACAGGCTTGCTCTTTTGTCAAAGTTGGAGGATCTCACCGTTAAGTAGCAGAACTATGACGTGTTTGCTCCCTAGCAGTTCTCCTCATATTGTGTAAAACATTTTTAATTAGCTCGTGTTTCGAAGGCCAATAATGGCTAAATCAATAAATCTTACTTAATCTTACCAAAAGACCAATTAGGACGACCATTAGGGCTTCTTTTGATTTCGGATATCAATATAAACAAGAATTAAATGTACTTAGCCGTGCGCTTAAGTTAGATAAATCAATATAGCAAGAAATTCTCCACAGAAACTCGTTTGTAAAACCTAAAAAATACTGATTCAGTCCTATCCACTTTCTCAGACTGCGAGTGGCAATCTCATTTATTTCAAAATCTGTAGAAAAGTATATTTCAATTCAGTTCAAAGTGATGCCTACGGCTATTCCAACTTATTATATTTTTCGTATATATTCTTATTAGAGTGCAGTAATAAGCAAGAATTGAAGGTGATACAACAGCCTTCTCTATTTATAATTTGTATACTAATTGTAGATTAACGATTCGTTATTGACTGATTGAATGTATTTAGTAACCAAATGAACTATAGACTAAGTTCGCCCACGGTGTCGAATTGGGTAAAAGTCATGACCTTTCTAACCTTTCATTGATTTGGATGGTTAACTACTCTGGTTAATTTGAACGAACAGGAAGGTTAGCGGAATGCGAGTCTCACAAAGGCGTTGCATCTGGTTATCTTCTTGGCAAATTATGTGCCAATAACATTTTCCTTAATGGACTTGGTAAATTTATCAAAGTTAATTCCTTCTGAACTTAAAGGAAAGTGGATTTTCTAGGAAGCAAATATCATCCACATCTTAATTCTTCTGTTTTAGCTCATATATTTAAACAATGAGACCATGTCAAGTTCTTAAAAGCCTTAAATAAGCAATTTAAAACACCAGCGTTTAGGAACTAGTTCAAAAACTCTCTTCATGGAAACAAAAGTTTCCCGTTAAGATCACAAAATTGGTCATGGTAGATTCCCTACTTGATTTGCTCGAATAATTGAGCGATAAACAAAATTTCATTTCTGAATAGAAACGTAATAGTAATCTCGACTTTCTATTTGTGCAGTAAGACTTCCGGCTCAGAAGAGAACGAAATACGCTCCCAGAATGTAGATATGTAGAAAAGGCACTCAAAGCTGGAAGCTTTTTAGGTGCAAAGAAAAATGGTGGAGGTTATTATTCATTTAGAAGGAAAGGTCGTCTCGCAAACAGAAAAAAATAATGAACTGTCTTTTTAACTTCAGCTTTACTAATTAACTGATTAAAGTTATCCAAATTCGCCATCAATATATTATGGATTTGGGTTTAAATTACGATCCATTATCTCAATGACCATCATTTCTAAATGAAATGTAATTATGATCCTCCCCCTCGGTGATTCATCTCGCTTTTCGAATTCATCATTTGCACTTATTATGGCATAAGTCCTCTTATTAATGATCGGCTTGTCACTTTTAATGGGGCTTATTAAATCATTCCAATCGGAATCGGCATCTAAAATACTGCACCTAGTCAATTCCGATCATATTACATCATAGGAAAAATGTCAGGTGTAAGTACGAATTAAGTAGCATTATTCCATGTCAGTTCAGGATCGTGGTAACTGGGGTAGATGATATGAGCGAAAAGTAAATGTGATATCAATCGGCTGAAACGTCACCACTTCGGTATTTCCTGATTTCGGTCTGGTTGATGTTTCCCCTGCATATCCCCATGTGATATTGGTTTGAAGCTAAAAGTCTTTATTTTGATCAGTTTATAATGTGCAAATAGTCGCATTTCCGGAAAAAAACCGAATTTCCCACCTCAAGGGAATTTGAAAAAATTGATTATATATATATATATGTTCGCAGGAGAAAAAGTTATTAAACTTTATTTGGCGTCGCCTTTCAAATGTTTTAAATCTTATGAAAGGAGATGGTCGAAACGCCGTATAACAAAAATTGCTTAACCATGAATTCAAAGTAAAATACAAAAGACAAATTCTTTTGAGATCAGTAGCAAATAGATGGAAATTCCGTTCTAGCATTTTCTTGAAGTATGGATACGCATCAGATTGTTTGAATGGCTGTGCTTGAATGACGCTATATTTTATGCTGCGCAGAAGAATAACCTTTCTCTCCAAACTGAAGCTATTGTTTCTTTAAGTATGAAAAACTACCATCTTTGACAATCATTTCAATTTCGATTCCCTCAATAAATATTTAACCCATTCTGTTCTTCAGACCCTCAATCCTGAGTCCGCACCAATGAAGCAGCATAATTTCGCGCATATAACGACCAACAGCGTGCATCCTTCCGATCCAATACTTGAGGAGGTGGATGCCAGTCAGATTTGGGACAAATTTCCCACCGACGGACTCAAACAACGCATTGAAGAGGACTCTCCAAATGTGTTTTTCCTTGTCAAATTATGGGTAAGCCAATTTGCGCACTTACAATAATGTGAATGTGAATTTTAATTGCTAGCTATGGTGGGTGGGTGGGGGGGGGGGCAATTTCAGACCACCGGCGACAGTGCAGACATCACAAATTTGGTGACTAAATTTGACCCTCGTCTTGTGATAAATATGCTCCACCTTGAGAATGTACAAGAAATCATCCACTAGAGCAGTCGTTCCAATGAGTGCACTTTTGAATGACACAAATCACGAAAAGAAATCCAAATTACAAAATATTTTAATTATGCATAACTTTAGAGTAATTTTATATGTATTTCTTCATATATATATTGTTAAATTTCATCGCTATGGGTATATGTATGTATGTGCGAATATGATCAGGGTGCGTGTTAGAACACCAAGTAAGAAGAGAACAATATACCTGATTTAGGAGTGAGATATCAGGATATTCAATCGCATTCTGGCTTTCATTAGCTTCCACTTCAATAAACTTTAAGGAAAGATCGAGTCTTCGAGTAACGCTTCAGATTCATAAATAAATAAGCATTCGACTGTTTACAAAATATCCTGTGGTGAAATATCTGGCATACAAAGATGTTTGTGTTTTTTATATTGACCTTAATTGTAATTAATGAAAACTTATAATTTTAAGGTGATTAAAATTTAACTATTTACTGGTTTGCTCCAGCTGTTCTCATTGCTTTTCTAACACTGATGGCATAATGTTTGTCGCAACTACCATTAATATCTGGCTTTTTTTGATAGTTTCAGAAGTAGACCACAGAGTTAATAAGCTGAAATCTTTTCACCATCCATACAAAGCTTGTATTGTGTACAAAACTGTCAAATGACTTTTCTTCAAGGGGTTCTTAACTGTCCCCTTATCAAGTACCATCAAATGCATAAAGTCCCAACGTAGTTCCACTCAGTTAATATAATTGCCTTTTATTAAATAGTTCACTGCGGAAAGAATAACGATCGCCTCAGGCATTGGGGTAGGGGTAGGGGATGACAGTATTTATTTTTAACCGCGTGTATATTCTGTGGCAACTGTTTAAGATTTCATGCAGTTATGTCACGTTTTTTTTCGCAGGGATTGCAAAGATGGTATAAATCTGGTGCTTAAAATAGCGGCAAAAAAACATGTGTTCTACTTCGATGCTAAAGAGAGAGAGAGAGAGAGAGAGAGAGAGATAGAGAAGAAGCAACGCAATCATTGCAGAGTAGATGATTAAATTATTGTAAATTATAGGTATAGAAGAATATGGTTGCTCAAATAGTTATGCTAAATGAAAAGATGAGAAATTGTGCAATTCTTTTCGGCCGCAAATCATGCAATAACAGGATTGGCGTTTGAGAAATTACCATCATACTTAACAAGTGCTACTACTTACAAAACAGGTTAGAATTCAGAAGGTTTAGTTTCTAAAAGCTAGAAAGTGAATACGAAAGGAGTCTTGGTCTGTATCGCACCTTTTGGGGATAATGAATTATTTTCAATGATTTTTTTCCATAATGTAAAAGTTGGACTTATAGAAATATAGTTCTTGTCAGGATTAGAGAGATTTGGTCCACAAAACTCGATACTTCCGCTTCTTTGCTGTTTAACTCAAAAGAATACGTTGGCAAGTTCCATAAACGCTTTCATTAAGCTCAAATTGCATTTTGTATTTGCTTCAAGAATAAAGTCAGAGATTTGACATACTAATTCTCTTTGTGTTTAATATTTAATAAGGCAAATGTAAAGTGGACACTAGAGGCACTTTCTTTTAGAAACAATGTTTCCAATGATAACACATGGACATTACCTCATTTCCTTCAAACACTCACATGCAGTTAGCGGCCTGCCAATTCATAAATATCGCTCGAATTTACTTGTGACAGGGACCCATAACCATGACAGTCAAATCAAAATGCTCCTGTTTTCATACAGCTCCTAAGAGGAAGAAATATCACCAAGCCTAAGTTTGGTGGACACTAAAAATGAGTTTTGTTGACTAGTTGCTTCAAAACTGCACTATACTAGTTAGTTTTCATGTTTACTTTCAAAGAGACCATTGCTTTTCATAATGATTAGAATGAAGATCAGGAGTAGTATGCGCAGGTAAGCATAATGCCAGTAGGTAAATGTAGAGTGCGTTGCGACAGTATATTGCATTTTTTAATCATACTGAGAAGGTTAGAATTAAAAGGGAAGGAATTCCATTGAAGCTTAATGCTATTCCATGTAGAGAATTGAGCATTTAGATTTTTGGTTTCTTCGATTATTATTTCATTTAGAAGTATTGAGGTTTACTCTGTTCAATACAATGACGTATGGACTTTGCATTTTATAATTTATAACAACGTGATTATTGAGCTTTACATTCAACTAATGCTTCCCCCTTGCTAACCTTCATTTCAGCTTCCTTTATCCAATGCAACATGTTTTATTTAATCACTGCTGTGTAACGTAAGAAATTTTCCAACCCCCCTATCCCATTTCATGCACTTCAAACCTTTGCTGTTTTGTGTTGTATTTTAAACTAGTTTTTCCGTTTTTTTATAAAATGTAAGAGTGTTGTGTGTACCTACGTGTGTTTCCCTTTTGATTTTGTGTCAGTGCACTTCACTTGATAAATCTGTGCAAGAATTTCCTGACAAATTCTGTAGTTTTTTAGAAAGTTTACTATTTTCAAATTGGTTTCTTACTTTTAGGCTGATATCAACACAGAACTTCCAGAAGGAGCAAACTATGCAGTATCTTCAGTGTAAGTCACGATTCTACTGAAATAACTCAGTAGAGAGTTTTGAATTAATTGTTATTATTTACTTTGTGCTGTTAGATTCGAAGGAACAGAAGATGTACCCCTGTTAGTGTCCACGCGCTTATGCTCCTACAGTTCACCGTTCGTTGAGAAACTGGAGGTAATCTATTTACCAGAATGATACCATTGAAATATTACTGACAGATTTTGAGTAGTTTTATGTTATATTTCAGTACGAAAGCCCGGTTTTGGAGAACGGACGGTATTTATATAAGCAACTGCAAAGTCCCATGTGCACATGTATGAAGAAGTTTATTGCAAAACTACTCAAACTGTCTTCACTGGCGGAAATGAATCAAGTTCTTGAGAACTTTACAATTCTTCAGGTAAGCACAATTCAGATAGGGACCTAATTTACTTTATATTTTATATTTTTGTAGATTGTTACGAATAAGAATACGGATGAAGTATTACTCGGAATCGCATACGTTCTGGAGGTTTCCAAATCTCTTACCGGTGCCCAACATAATATCTACCGTCTTGCCAAACCAGAAGTATCTTCAACAACCAATCAGCAGCGTCCTCTAACAACCAACCTTAATGGTCAATCCCCTCCAGTCACATCCGCAGGTGACACATAGCCAATCAAAGAAAAAGCCCCAGTATTTATTAGAGCGCCCCTTCTTTCTCTTCCTCCCACTTTTGTAATTATATATCTTCATGTTTTACTCGTGGACCCTCTTATACTCAAACGGACAGTAAAATATTGGCTAGGTGTTGTGTCTCTACCTATGCCTCCTAAATCCTTTTATCTTGGTGTGTGTATCGATTACTAACTATCAGTGTGTACCATTCTCGTGTGCCTTCTCATTTGATTTCTTATTCTCCCACGTGAATTCTTTCTCCACAACCTTCAAGCGCCTGTAAAAATACTATACGACAATACAGACCCTTTATCTGATACATATATGCACTGTAAGCATGTATAAATCAAGATCATTTTTTCTTTCTGTTTGCGATCTCTCAATTGGCATATTGAGGACGCATATCATTGAAAAGACGGTTTAATTTAATGATGACTGAATGATTATTGGAAATGATTATAGTGTTGTGTGAAGAGGTAAACAAATGGAACGCTTATTCTTTCTCGGTCAGACGGTGTGGAAAGTAAGCAATCACTAATAATCATTTCGGTTTGTTTGATGTTTATTAGTTCCGATCACATTACCTATTTGTGGTTAACTGAAAGGATTCTTGCAATGAACGTTTCACATAAGGAGGGCTCGGAAATATTCCTCACCCCTCCACCCCTCCAAGTAAAATAGTCTCACAGTTTTGAAAGTAGACTGAGATGTTTATTATTCTAGCAGGCTTTAACTTAATTATTTGCCAAGTTGATCCGTGCATATTGATTATGAGGCGGTGTGTTTTTACTCATTTTATTGATTTCTCGAGAAGAGAGGGGGGGAGGGCTTGGTAGATGCTTTATAATAATAAAAAGAATAATAAAACTCTTCAGGCCCACATCAGAATGTGGCCTTCTTTATTGAACCTTGGCTACAGGATTTTCCAGATTAACTTGATGGAATTGTTCTTTGATTACGCCGCTAATGACCTTTTGTCAGGCAGGATTTAGGGAATTTGCATTGTCAATGCTTAACTGAGACGTTGTCCCAAAAATATCTTCTGTATTCTTGAACTCTTTTAAATTTGTTTGAATAATTTGAGCTTAGTCTTGAGATTAATTATTAATATTCGAAAGTTGGAAGCGCTTAAGCTGAACTAAAGATAGAATACTTAAGGGAAAAAACTACTCCACGTATAAGAAATACATCATTGTTGGCAATTAAACATATTACCACCACGATCAACAAATCGATAATATGTCTAATCCAGTAATCGGAAACATTTTTTATCTAAATAGGTGGTTTTAAAGTTTCAACCTGTTTAGAATCGCCCAATTTATCCCTTAATGACAAGAAGGTCAATAGCGACTTGACATTGATCCAATTACCAGCACTCCATAAGGAATAAAAAAACACAAAGAATACCGCACTTAATCGAGTTGACCTTCTAAATTGTGAATAGCACTAGTTTCGTTCCCTATGCTACATAAATAAGACATTGCAAAACCTCAGTAATTTTTTTTCTGACAAAATTCTCAAGTATTAGTCTGCTCCAAAATTACTTAGCAGCATAGCAGAGCATAGAGGAAATAGGGCACATCAATCGAACAACGATTTATTCTAGTTATGGCTCTCTGCCACAAGACTTAGCCAATGATATACAGTTAGGGGTACGCAATAGACAATACAAGGTCTATTGTCTGCTTGTTGGCTGATAAATCTCTGCCCTTCCTACCGCACATGCTCCTTCAACACGATTAGCAGCCAGGCCATGCCTTCACGTATATATTCCAGGGCAACTGAAGAGCTTTTGATCAGCCTTGGTGGCTTAATACCCTCCAAACCAATAAAACTAAGCGTTTTGGTCGTAAAAATAACCATCGAAGAATTCAAACTGCCTCAAATGGGAAAACTGAAAAATCTTAACTTGGTTTCATAAAAAGGCGACTCTGTGGGGGCAAATCGATTTTCCCATTTTTTGACAATCACTATGCATATTGAAATATTTGAAAAATGGTCGGAAAAACGTAGAGTGCTTTTACAAAATATAAATACTGGAAGGAACTTGGTAAACGAATGAGCATTAACGTTCATGAAACAGTTCGATTTGCATCTATTGTTTGGTAAATTTTATTTCAAGATTTTATCAAAATCCGTTAAAAATGATCTAGTTTGAATAAATAGGATACCGTCAACTCAAATGATCTAAGGACTTTTGAATATCCGATAATTATTCAGTCATTAATACAAGTATTTGTTCCTATTAATAAAATTGAACTTTTGATTTAAGTTATTAGTTCCTAATGTGATTTGTTTGAGAATTTCATTAATATTTCCTCTTAAATTTATCTATATTAAAACATTTAAAAAAATTTCCTTTAACATCAATAGATGACGACTCGTACTTTACTGAGCAAAGAAATGAGTTGAGATGATATGGCAGATTGCCATAATGGTATCATAGGAAAGGAATAGGTTGTGGAATTGAAATTTTGATGCAAATTATTTAACATTCAAATCACTCAAAAAATATATTTAACTTCTGAGGCCCTGATTTTCTTCCCATTAACTTACATTTTCTTATATTAATCCTTAATTGGACTTAATTGGATGGAAATTTCATTTGTTTCCTATGATTAACCTTTTGGGTCCCTTAGGATCCCACGGACCTTTTTCGAAATATGCTCCC